CAGCCTGGTCTACATAGTGAGTTCCAGGCCAGCTGGGGCTACAGGGAGACCCTGTCTCAAAAAAAAAAAAAAAAAAAAAAAAAAAATGAAGGGTGTCTATACTCACCATGGTGAGGGGGATTAAAAAAACAGAGCAGTGAAGCAAGGTCTATATAATTGGGAGAATGAAGCCACAACACCTCTCAGCCCTAATTATCTGGATCTTTCTGAACAATTGCCTCCATCTCCCACACCAGCCCAGACTACCATAGGTGAGGTTTCTCAGAGCCAGAGGCACTGAAGAGAGACAGTAGTGTGTATGGCTAGATGTTGCCGAACCACAATTGCATAGACAGAGTTATCTGAATATCTCACTACTTCTAAAAGACCTGTGTGGGTAGAAAGATGGAGGGTGTCTGAAGATAATTTATTTTCATCTGCCTCTCTCCTGGACCTCTGCAGGCACTGAGCTACACCAGCCTGGGAGTGTGAGCACAGAGCTCCGGAGGCATAGTGGGTTTTATATTCACTTCCCCGCTATAATTTGTAAGTGTGTAAAATCTCAGTTGGGCTATATTTTTTTTTTATTTCAAAGATATTTTTCTCTAGAAGGCTGTGATATAAAAGTGTTTATTTTTTAGCAAAGACTTTTTGTTTCTGGGAATCTTTGAGATGATTCCTCTGCTTAAAGATTATTCTGAGCTTTCCTCTAATGTTCAACCCCCACTCAGCGCACATGCTTATACAGAGATGGAAGCCACAGAAGCTTCTTTTGCATCCCCAGCACTCTGAAGGCATTGCTCTATGCTCTAGGCCTGGGCTCCCACTCACAGTGAGCCCTGTGGGCACCAGCTTCCAAGCCCATGGGTCCCTTGGCATAGCCTATCAGCTCCACTACCACAGGATTCCTGCTGGACCCTCATTCAAGAAGCTTTCTGTTTGGTGCAATAGAACCTCTGTGTAATTCATTATTGTATGCCTACATGTGAATGGTCTATCTTCTAGAATGTATCATTCTGCGTTTCACATTAGCTAATAAAATTGTACTATATAAAAATCCTATAGGCAGTACAGAGAAGATGATTCTTGACACCAATACCAGGTATTAAAACCAGTTGCTCAATGCTGGCAATCTGAAATGAGTGCCTTGTGTTGATCTAGCTCTGGTATTGACTTGTGTTATGCTATATAACCACACACTGCTTGTAAGAATGTTACATTCTGTAACATCATTCAGTGATTCTTCACCATCTACCTCTGCCCAAAATCCCAGATGCAGAGGGATTTCAGGCCTGCCCCGAAGTCTTTGGGAAGATGCTTTCCAGTGAAAACATTACTGGATCCAGCATGAGAAGCTAGGGGAGGATCCTTCTGGGCTGTGTGGGGAGATATCTACTGCTGCTCCACACTCCCAAAGATCTCTGGAGCTCTCAGAGGGAAGACCTTCTCCCATTGAGCTCTGCTTACAGGGAAAGCAACCCAACTGCTGTATGGTCTAGACCCCCAAACCTAAAGCTCCTGATGTTGTTTTTGGGAAACCTGAGCTGAAGGTTCTTCTCTGGAGAGTGGTGGGAGTTTCAGGGTCCTTTCCTATTGAGAGAGAGCCTCAGTCAGAGAGGAACAGGACATAAGTGATTTCTCTCCTTCCACACACAGCCAGACAGACTTTGGCGTCCTCAGCCAGTGGCCTGGACCCAGACTGCAGCACAGGTCTGCCTCTCTCACCTCTCATCCCTAGCTAGCCCCTCTTTCTGTCTGAGGCCCTGGAAAGTAACTCTCATTCTGGAACACTTGGAAGTAGATTCAAAGAATTTGAGCTCTGTGTACCAGAGCTACAAAGAAAATTTTGTATCCCAGGAGAGGATGCAAACCTTCTCACACCGCCTTTTCAGAGACTTTAGCTCTTCTGTTCTCTTAACAATCCAAACATTCGCAAATTAGAAAAGAAAAACACTACATTTCTACAGATTCTGGCGAATTAGATCCCCCATTTTAAAGCTATTATCTGGTGCCTGACCCGACCTGAAATCTCCGCCAAGGGAAAGGCTCTTATCTTTTCCCTCAATTATTCAATGGGTCGAGAGTTTTGCTCTGGAGGCCCAACCTCAACCCGTTCCTGACGGGTTTAGGGTCCCGGATCCCTTCCTGGGGTTGGTGCGGGCAGGGGGAGGAGGAGGCGAGCTCCGACCGGAGCAGAGCCGGCGCTCGGGCGCCTCCGATTGCTTCACTCTCGAGCCGGCAGCTCCGGGGAACGTGTCGGAGCAGATTTCTTCCCTAGCGCATTCCTCAACACAGCTTGCCCGGCTGGCTCCATCGACAGCCCAGCCGAGCCGGCGCGCCGGGGCCAGACGGCGGGGGTGGCTGGGGCATGGAGCCGCGGGGCAGGCAGGGCGGGGAGGGGTCCCCGGCGGCGCAGGCCCAGTCCTTACCTGGAAAGGGAGACTTCCAGAGGTGGGCGGACTGCGACTGCTCCTTGGAGCAGTACACCTGACTGTCCCAGCCATTGGAAAGAGCCCAGTGCTGGTAACCTTCCACTGGGATAAGCGCGTCGTGACGCGGCTCCGGGTGCCCGCTAATCCCGGGCACCACCGACACGTCCAGGTAGCCGGGCATCGCCTGATAGGAGCTGGCGAAGCTGGGGTAGAAGGCGAACTCCTTGGCCCTGGTGGACAGGTCATCACCGGGCAGGGCGCCCGACGGCTCCGGGTACTTGTCACCCGGGTGGTAGGCGCAAGGCTTCTGCTGCAGGTTCACGTTGTGCGACAGGCGACAGCCGTAGTAGCTGCCCCCGAACGGATAACCGTAGCCCAGGGTAGCGCTGGATGAGGTGGGGGGCGCCGGCGGTGGGGCGCACTGGCGCGCTGCCTCCGGGGCTGGGATGTCCGTGTAGACGGCGCCCTGTGGGGCGCCCAGAGGAGCGGGCGGGCGGCCCAGCACCGGGTGCGGGAGCAGGTCGCGGCAGTGGCTGGCGGGGCAGCTGCTGCCCAGCCCGTCCATGCTCGGCGCTTTGCCCGGGCTCGCTCCGCTGCAGCTGCCCCCCGCGCCGCCGCCGCCGCCGCTGCCGCTCTCCGCCGCGCTGTCCTCATAGACGTACATAAGGCTCTCCGGCCAGCGCGGATGCAGGAGCAGCGAAGTCGTCATGACATGATCTGCCCGAGCTTTTTAAAAACTCCACTTGCCACAGGCAGCGAGCTGGGGAGATACCTCGCTCCCTTTCTCCCCTCCCCCATCCCTCCTCCCTTCCCTCTCCACCCCTCCCCTCCTCCTCCTCCACCTCTTCCTCCTCCTCCTCCTTCTCCTCCTCCGGGTGTTTCCCCCTCCCTCACCGCATTCCCACTACGCATGCGGATACGCTTCATTAAGAAATCCGCCAGCTCCCGCCCTCCTCTGCTCAGCACGCCTCTGGTTCCCACGTGACCGCGGCTGGCACACGTGATGCCAGACCTGGGTCTCCGGGGGTTCCCTCCCCTGGAGGTGGGGCGGGCTAGAAAGAAATGAGGTCTTTGTTGATTGGCTCTCTGGAGGGGAAAAGGTGGAGGGAGCTGGAAGATTTAAAGGGACAGGGCAACGCCCCCTAGGCATCCCTTGTAAGGGGAGGGGGCGGAGAGGCTAAATTTGGCCGACGCAAAGGGGCCTGGGGCGAAGAGGCTGGTACCCCGCCCCCAGGCTCTGGATGTGCCCAGGGAAACCAACGGACTCCTAAAACCTCAAGCCGACAGCCTTGATTACCGAAGTCTCCAAATTGGGGCTTGGAAAATGGGGGCGAAACTGAAGTTTTTTGTTTTGTTCTGTTTTTTTAAAGTAATTAAAAAATAAACTAGAAAACAGACTGCAAGTCTCTACCTCTGGCAGGCTGAGGTTGAAAAGAACCAGCCTTTGATGCACAGGTCAGAGATCGGGTTTCCATTTCTGACTTCAACCACTTTTCCCCAAACCCCAGTTGCCTGAAAAAAGACCCTCTTCTTTTCTCCCTGGTATCTGAGAGGTTTGGGAGCTGTGATTGCCCCAGATGCAGACTCCGTCACCATCACCGTCACCGGGTGAGGAGAGTGTAGCAATGAAATACTCTGAACATTCTCTCAGTGAGAAATAAAGAATAAAAGGAGGGAAACGGAGGGAACTGAACAGGACGGTTGTTCTTTCAGCTCGCAATAGAAATAAAAGTCTTGGAATGAGTTTTTTGTTTGCTTTGTTTTTCCCTCTCTCCCAAGGAAATAGAGACGTGGATTCTGGTTTGTCAAGGGAAAAGCCCTGGATGCCTGCAAGAGCTTCTTTTCTTCTTTAGGTGTATAAAACGGAATGGGAAAGCTGGAGGAGTCCGTGTTTCCTTTTGGAGGGACCGCTCACAGGTGCAACTGTTGGGCGCCCAGAGGTTCCTGCACACTCACGCAAGGCGGCCTCGATCCTCAGTGGCCTGGGCTGCTGGAGCATTGAGGGCCAGGGAACCAGACCGAGCTCAGATCCACTTGTTCCCACATCTTTCTCTCGAGATCACACTGAGTTCAGAGTATTTAACGCCCTAAACTGAAAAATTAACACTAACAATGATTTTTGTAATGGCCTTTCCTTCTACCCCCACTGGTTGGAGCCTCATTAGATTCCTTTGCAGAGGGTATCTCCATGGAATTGCACCAAGTTCCCTTTCGCACATACCCCTCCCTGAGGAGAGGCAATAAAGGGAGAGAGAAAAAATAATAAGGGGGGAGCGGTGTCTTTGCTGGCTGCCGATGCTTCCACAAGTGGTCAACATTCAGTAAGCCCCCACCAAACCCGACCCACTAGACCTTTCTATCGGAGGCAAAAGGCAAGGTCTATCCCAAGACCCCTGGTGGAGGAAGGTGGTCTTTGACGATTGAGAGGACCCAGACCTTCGTTGAGTCAGGATAAGAAAGGGAATTCTTATCACTGTGGTCTTCATCCAGAAGTGTCTGCTTAGAGTTCTGAAAGCATGCTGAGCGCTGCCCTGGCAGCAGAAGAAAAATACAGCAGAAAGAGGTTAGGAACGTAGGTAGGCCAGCTTATCAGTGTTGAGGGAAAAGACCGTGTGAGGCCAGGAGAGATAAACTGAGGGATCTGGCTGAGAGTCCGCTGGCCTGGGAAATTGGCTACCCTGACGCTGGAGTCCAAGGTCAAGGTAAACCAAGGAGAGTAAATACCCCTGGCCAAGTCTACACTAGGTCGCATGACCTTGGCTCCCTGTCCTAAGGCTGGCTGATGGGGGTGGGTGGCTGGAAGGGCCTGCTGGTTTTCCAGCGGAGGGGAGTAGCGGTGGCTTCCTCTCCCTTGAAGTGCTGTACCCCATTTTAAACCAGGGCACAGGACCAGACTTTGTAGGGCTGCTAGGAGAAACAAAGTGACCAGAGAGACCTCCCTGTTCCTGGGGCTTCTTCCTTGGCCCGGCCTAATGCCAGGCACTGTCTGATACCCAAAGGCGCTTCCACCAGCCTTTGGGAGTAGAGACCAGAACAGAGGGAAAGGAAGGATCTGGGTGCAGGGAGGCCTCACAATAAATAAAATTAATAGTATGTTCTTTTCCAGGTTTATACAAGGGCATTAACGATTCCTATTGCAATGAGATATAGATTTAATTAACCCGGTAACTTTACAATTCCATTTATTAGGGGCACTATTCGGCCAAAACTTAGCAGGAAGAGGACAGAGGGAAACAAAGTCGTGTTCCTGGAGACCAGCCAAAGATGTATGCCCCTAACATGGCACTGGGGAGTGGGAGACGGGGTGGGGGTGGTTGCGTAATTCGGGGTTAAGGATACCGAGAGCAGCTAGGAAGTCTTCTCTTCATGCTCTGATTGACCATCCCCCTTTAGCCTGGTTCCCCAAGTCCTTTGGTGCCTGCAATCCTACAGCTGCCCGAGGGGATCACCTAGGGAGGCGCGCCTGCAAGAGCCTGTGGGCGGGCGGTGGAAAGTAAAACCTTACTGGTTAATTACCTTTAAGCTTGGGGTCGCTTCTTCCCCCTCCCCTGAAAAAAATGTGTATCTCGCTGAGACAGAAGTAAAATAAAATTAAACACTCCAGGAGAATATGCACCAATGGAAACGCAGTAATTACATCTCAGAGGCGATCGCGCCCCAGACAGCCAGGCTCTGCAACCTCAGGCCCTAGCGCTCACCCCCCACCACTCCGCCACGCCCGGCTTTGGCTTCAGGTTTGGGGCGGTGGGGCTTGACAGAGGATGTAGTTTAGAAAAAAATAAAGAGAAATAAGAAGGAATGGAACTTCTGGTCTCTAGCTATACTGCTGATATGAGCGAAAAGATGGAAGCATTTTAAGTGCACCGAAGTAAAATGGAAAATGGCCTTCAGCCCCATCCGTAGACCCAACTGAATCTGGGCTGCTTTTTCAAAGCCACATCTACGTGAATCACTCTTCCTCGGTCCTCCGATGAATTAAGTTCTTAGCTAAGTTCTACTCGTCCACCACTTAAAGGATATATTAACACGCCTTTTCAGAGTGAGTGTGTGTGTGTGTGTGTGCGCGCGCGCGCGCGCACAGCACAACAGAGCACAGCACAGCACTCGTGTTCGGTGGGTTTAGGGATGTGGGCAGATGCACGCACTGTTTCCTCACATCCCTGTGGATACAGTCCAAATGTGTTCATGAAGACACCAGCTCTCTGATAAATCTTCTATATACAAATAAAACTTCCAGCTTGTCTGCTTATTTGCCTGTTTGCACACTTAATTCACAAGCTTATCCTACTCTGTACTTACAGTGCATCACCTAGGAAAATACTAGGGAAATGAAGAGGCAGAGTATCTGTGTCTTCCTGAAGCTGAGATTGGTGGGTGGGTGGCATTTCCGACCCACTGGACCAAAGGAAAAGTCAAAAGTGTAACTTTGCAGCATTTGCAGCAGGAGGGACAAGCTTGACACACACACTTGAGGGCTGGATGTAGCCACAAAGAAGAAGGATGAAAGAAATGGAGTTAGTGTGTATGCCTTACTCAGTGTTGAGATTTCATCCTCTGGAAATTGCACATCAGAAATGGAGTTAGTGTGTATGCCTTACTCAGTGTTGAGATTTCATCCTCTGGAAATTGCACATCAGATGATTTTCCAATTTGCCTTCCTCTTCTGTTTCTTCCATTTTGGCGGAGGTGTGTGCATCTGAAGCTCTGGAGCTCCTGCCCACCCCCCTTTTATGAGGAAAAAAATTCCAGTTTAAAAAAAATGGAGGCCGTTGATTGAGGGTATAGGAGAACAAAGAGATTCACCACCGCAGGGTCTGGATTCTGGCCCAGACTTCGGGCACTAGAAGGGGTGTAGACTTTGGGGGATGTGCTTTCCTGTCCAGGGTCCTGGCTGTAGGACAGAAGGGATTTGTAGACAGAAGACACAGAGTCTGAGCAATCCAGGATATTTGAAAGGGATGTTTGAGACTGAGGAAGGAGCTGGGAGTTTAGAAAAAGTCTATGCAGGGGTATCCTTGAGTGTGTTTGAGAGAAGGGACCCATTCACAGGGAAGAAATTCCTGGTGGGCTGCAAAGGGCAGTATTGGTGAGGGAGGAAAGAAAAGCAGCTAAACTTGGTGTTTCTGTGTCCTTCCTCGTTCCTAAGCACCCTCTTTCTGGAAGGCTGGGACAGCTGTGGAAGATGCAGGCACATTCACCATCTCCCAGGCCTTTGGATGCCTCAGGAACCTGCTCTACTTTGATCTTTCTACCTCCACAGCCCGGCCTCAGAAAAGGACCACCAGGCGCCTTTCAGCCTGGGAACTCAGCGGCTCTGCACTCCTGGTGACTTCCACTTTACCGGTCTCCCTCCCTTGGCCCCCAGCTTGAGGAACCAGGATGGCTAAGGCTTCACTTTGCTCTTTGTTTCAGAGTGTTACACTCCTCAACTCAAATTTGCCTTTCTGCAGGCCCTGGTCACTCCTCTCTTAAACACCAGGAAAATCTACTTCTTTCTGCTGGCTCACTAGGACTTGCAGGACTGGTCCAGGTTTGGAGGCACCCCAAAATTTTCCTCTGTGCTTTAGGAGGGATCCTTGCAGCAGTCCGGGTTTAAACCATCACAATTCTTTTCCTGGATTCTTTTCCAGCCTTTCCTCAATGCAAGCCCCACCTGTGGTGCATTGAGCTGGGTCAGGGGAAGTCAGGTGGCCCCTTTCAGGGGGACTGTCAAGAAGCCATCTCCAAGACCAGCCCTCTTTCTTCTCCGGTTTGTCAGCCACCCACCTAACCTCACCAAGTTCATCACAGAGTCCTGTCTTCATGTCATTGTGTCATCTACTTT